AAGCTGTCCTGCCTTTCCTTAGTCCCATAAGAGGGAATAGTGATCTAAACATTTAACCTTTTCCTACCCCTCACTTTTGGGAGATAATATGCCTCCCTGGGAAGGCTTTCACCTCTCATCCTCTTCTAGGCAATGCTCTGGATACAGAAAAAAGATCCAGAAATGGAAGGAATGATAGAGAAGATGAAGTTTCACATAATGGATCCTATGCCACCCATTCAAGCAATGGTCCACACAGGTTCCTACCATATGTTAATTGCTTACTGTGGTGACATGCGCCTGTGGCTCTTTGGAGATCACCATCAAGCATTTACATCTCTGGGTACAGTGCCCTGTCGTTTCTCCATCAGCTGCCTCTGCTATGACTCAAAAACTGAGATATTGCTTTCTGGTACCTTGGGGGCCGTGGTTACCTGGTTTATCTTACCGAGCGGCAGGGGCCTCCAGATGGCACAAACAGTGCCCATGCCTGATCATGAGACTGTACAGGGCTTTTCCCTGAATGGCCCCCAGGGCTCCCTCCTGGCCTTTTGTGAAAATAACGTGAGAGTCTTCACACACCAAGATCAGGGCCAGCTGAAGGAGGTAAAGAAGTTCACTCCCACAGCCAGTGGCTCCTTCATCACCTGCTCCTTCACTTGTGTCTCTCAGGGCTATTTCTATACTGGAAACAGGGATGGAGAGATCCACGCTTGGAGTCTAGACCAGGGTAATTTCCTCCACAGCTTCCAGGCCCATTCCTCATCAGTGATATGTGTCCATAGCCGGCCAGAGATCCACACCTTACTAACAGCAGGCAGTGAAGGTGCAGTGAGGGAATGGAATCTTGCTTTTGGGAATTTGCTGCGGCAGCTGGATGTTGAAGATCTGCAACAACTGCAGTTTATTGATAACACCACTTTTTTCTGCCAGACTACCCACACTTTCTCATTGCACAACCTGCCCTACTTTTATAGCCTCTTCAATGTCTGTGGTTCTGCTCTCCAGCAGGTTCAGCGGGTCTGCTGCGGCCATAACTGGACTCGAATCCTGTGTGCCACTAAGGATGGTTTGTTGCGCTTCTTGTCTCCAGTAACAGGCAATCTCCTTGTTATCACCTGGCCTCTACTTGTCATGGATAAGGTTGTGGCTTGGGCCTATGACTCAGACAGAGAGGAGCTCTTTGTGGCAACAGACAGTTCAGAAGTTCTGGTGTTTGATGCAACACGCTCTCCTTGCACAGCCAAGTATCTTGTGTGCATTTCAGTAAACCCTGGGGACAGAATAAGATGCCTGGCCTACGGGCATTCCCATGTGGGTGGGGGCCTACCAGGATTCATGTTCTGTGGGCATGAGAGTGGCATTGTGAGAATCCTCTCCCATTATAGGTGTGCCCGAATAGAGAAAACTGTTCACTCAGGAGCAGTGTTAGCATTGTCTACCCTGGAAGGTCCCCAGGAAAACTCCTTGCTTTGTTCCTATGGCATGGATAATACTGTACAGCTGACAAAAGCTGTGCTTCAGAAAAACAAGGTAATCCTGCAGCATGTCATCAAAATTCTCTGTGATTGCCTCCTAAAACATGTAATACTCTTGCCAGGTTCTGTGGGTGCCATCACTGAGAACCATTGCTGGTGTCTCTGGCATTACCAAGATTTTCTGACATCTTCAGAATCAAAACAAAGCTCTATGTTTAAAGAGACAAAACGCCTGCACCATTGTCCCATTACTTCATTTGATGTCTGCCTTTCCCTGAAACTTTTTGTCACAGGGGGCATAGATGGCTCAGTCCGGATCTGGGACTTCCATGGTAGACTCATCACTGAGTTGGACTCAGCATTGCATTTTGGCCCACTCTGCTTTGCCAATAATCGGGGTGACCTGCTTTTGACTTTCAACCAGAGTCTTTATCTGGTTTCCTGCTTAACATTGTTTCCTCCAGCTCAGCTGATTCACCTAGCTACCCTAAACAATGCAGACGAAATACAAGAAGCCCCTAAACCCTTCCTGCCTAGCTTCTTCTTTTCATTTGAAACAGTGTTTGTACCCAAATTTGTCTACCTTGGACAAGGGCTACAGGAATTACAAGGGTTAGAGGCCCTTGTTAACAAACGGGTCATTGCCTTTGACAATACTGTGCCCCACGTTGTGGAGGAAGAGAAACATATGTCCTCTGTGTTTAAAAAAGGACCCAAATTACAGTTTTTGGCAGATAAAGATATTGATTTTTCTACTCTCGACCACGAGCATAATCGTCCCCCACACTTGGTTCCTGCTCAGTTACGGCTGGCTTACTGGGATGGATTGAACCGTTACCACATATTACAGTATTTTTTTGGTAAAGGGAAGCAGTGGCCCTTTGCTCCTGATGGTTACATCCCAAACTCAGTGGTCCGTGCCCGCCTTTGGCCTGAGGGTACCCCAATCTTCCTACTCTGTGATCTGTACCCATACTACCAAGATAAGGGGTGGGATGGGACTGAACTCTTCAGACACCAGGCACTGTCATCTATGGCTCTAGTAAAAGAGAAAATCTCAAAGGGTAAACAGGATACATCCAAGAAGTGGAAACAAACTTTATTCGATGTTCTTGCAAGCATGACAAACCTAAATTGGATAGGAAGAAAATTAGATGAAAGTCTTATAAATACTTTAATTGAATCCATCCTCAACCTCACAATTTACTGTTCTATAGAGCAATATGAGACCTATATTAGTGTCCTGGCAAAAATTTTTGCCACTTGTCAAGTACCTTCAAGCTTGTACTCTGAGACTGCCTGTCGCTTCCTGGAAGATACAGCCCATTCCAACGCAAAGATCCGGGAGCTGGCCTGGGAGGCGCTGGAGAGGCTAGGCCTCATGGGCCCTCTCTTTGCTGTCCCACTGGCTGTGGGACTGATGGACAATGATGAAAATGTGCGGGTTAAAGCCTTAAACCTTATGATAAGAGTCACAGGCATCCAAACTAAGACCATGCTGGTAAACCTGCTGAAGAAGCGAGGACTTTTTCAGGACATGCAGTAAGTTGGGTGGTGGCCATCCCCCATTCCGTTCCTTCTTGCTGCTGACCTCCAGAATCTGATTACTTTACCTTTTCCACAGCTCCTTTTCTATTCTTTTCCTCCCTATGTTCTTTGTCTCTATTTGCTTTTCTCTCCAGGATGGACTCCTTTTTTTTTTTTCCTGACCGTTGACTAGCCTGCTCTCCCATTATTTCCTTACTTCTGTCAGATTACTCAAGACTCGGGTCCACAAATCTCCCAGCCAAAGAAGCACTTTGCGTCACCCTGCCTACTCCATTCCTTGCTGTCCTAGATTCTTTACCTTCTTCCGGCTACTCTGTCTTAAGTAGCTACTTTATCCAGGCCTCTTGCGCTGCAGCTTCTCCTCCTCTTCCCGTCTCTTCCTCCTCCTTCCTGTCCCTTCTTGCCCCCTCCTTCCTCTCCTCTGCCCTCTCCCTCTCCTCCTCCTCATTCTGTCTTATTACTGACTTAGTCTTAGCCTCTTTCCCCTTGATTTCTGCAGGCATGAATTTATCGGAAAGGCTTCTCTGGACCAGCTTCTGGGGATCCAAGCTAAAGACATCCAGTACCTACTCCGTCAGGTGGAGAAGCAGCTGAACGAAAACCTGACATTGTCACGTAGAGACCAACAATTTACATTTCCTTCTGATATATCAAAGGCGGTAGAAACTGAGACCCTTGCTAAACGAGCACTCGTATCTTTGTTAGAACCGAAAAAAATCAGCAAACCGAAGGAAAAAATGAAACATTCTCAAGCAAAGAGCAGACTCCTTAGTATGTATGGGGTAATATATGGGGCATATTTGGGTTTCGTATCAGGGCACCAAAAGACAGAGTCAGTAAGGGCAAGGTATATAAAAAGACACCAGTGGAAACAGAGTTAAGTAAGGACACTCTTTTACACAGAAAGTAGCCTTCCTTGGAAACATCTGCCCCACAACAAATACCAAGGTCTTATTTCTTTAGGATATGGAAGCTAGGATAAAACAGCACACATTTCTGTACTGTAAAGCCTCAGTCCCTTTGCCTTTGTACCCCTTATGGCAGTTCATTGAACTAGGTATTACAAAGGATCTCACTCAGGACCTCCGTGTATGTTTGTTTGTTTTTTGCTTTTAAATATATCTTTATTGATTTCATAGAGAGGAAAGGAGAGAGATAGGAACATCAATGATGAGAGAGTGATTGACCGACTGCCTCCTGCTCGCCCCCTACTGGGGATCAAGCCCTCAACCCAGGCATGTGCCCTGACTGGGAATCGAACCAAGATCTTCTGGATCCTAGGTCAGTGCTCAACCACTGAGCCACGCAGGCTAGGCTGTGTTTGTTTGTTTTTAATCCTCACCCAGAGGACATGCTTAGAGAGAGGAAGAGAAAGAGAGAGAAACATCAATGTGAGAGAGAAGCATCGGTTGCTTGCCTTCCATATACTCCCCAACTGGGGATCAAATGCACAACCCAGGTATGTGCCCTGACTGGGAATGAAACCCATGATCTTTTTGGTGCACAGGAAAATGCTCAACCGCTGAGCCACTGTGGCTGGCAAGGCCTCTGTGGTTTTCTTAACTATTTTTCTCCCAATATCTCTGCAGTTAAAAAGGACCTGAGAGTTCCACGAGAGCAGAAACAGACAAAATTTGTAAAGTTGAGCTCTTTGTTGGTACCTTCAAAGGATAAAGGTGAACAAAAAGAGGCCATGAGATTAGAGAAAACTGATACCCAGGATGTTGCCTTAGAGCCAGAGCTGCCACTAAGAACATTCAGCCCAGTCAAATCCCAAGAGGATGCTGAATCAAAGGGGATCACGTTGGAAGAAACAGATGTCATACAAGCAGTGGAGGCCACAGAGCTTGCGAAGGCCATAGATCAACATGGCATGAAAGACTATGAAAAGGTGATCCCTAAGCTGGAAAGACGAGAACACATGAAAGGGCTTTGGAAAAGGGCAATGGAAAAAAGCCAAGAAAAAGATGTGAAGTTGAAAGAGAAAAAAGATTTGGAGGATATTTCAAAGACAACTGCAGAAGAACCCAAGGAAGAAGTCACAAAGATTACTGAGCAAGAAAATGATACAAGAGGGAAACTTGAAATGAGACGCCATGGTTTGGCTGGGATCCCAGGACGCACAGGTAGATCAGACACCAGGTGTTGGCGGGATGACATTTGTTCTCTTGCTGTCTCGAGGATAGCAAGTTCCCATCCAGGAATGGCCAGGGATCTAGGTCAAGAATTGGTGGACTTGGCTCAGGTGATGCTTGCTCCCCGATACCCCAGCTGGAGCATCTTCCAAGAGATCTGTCCCTTTTTAAAGGGCTCATCAGACTTGTATCAGGAAGTGGCAGAACAACAACTCATTATAACTGAAAAAGGGGTTCAAGAGGTCAAGAAAGAAGGAATAGTACGATTGAGGAAAAAAAGGGGTAAAAAAGTATTAAAGGAGGGCAAGGCATTTTCTCAAGTCAAGAAAAAGAAAATTGCTTTCTTACAAGATCACCTAGTCTTAGAGAAAAAGAAATTTAAAAAGGAAGTAAGACATCTGGCCAGGCAAGAAGGGAAAACAGCCGAGGAAGAAAGGAAACTGAGTAAGCCAGAGAAGAAATTAACGTGGGAAAAGGAGAAACTGATCAAAGACAAGAATCTGACCCATCAACAAGAAAAAATAGCTTGGGAAGAAAAAACACTGGCTTCCTCACAAAAGAAATTAACCAGGGGAGAGCAGGAGTTAGTTCTAAGAGAAAAGAAATGGACTGGAAGAGACAGGAAAGTACTAGGGGAAAGAAAGGGAGTAATCTGGAAAGAGGGGAAAGCAATACCAGGAAGGAGGAAGTGGGACTTGGAGGAGACTTGGCTGGCCCAAAAAGAAGGCATATCGGCCCAGGAAGAGGGGTTACCTATTTGGGAGGAGATGAAGCTGTCCCAGGAAGAAGAGAAGGCAGACGAGAGAGAGGAGGAGACTGGTGAGGGAGGGGAGGACTTGGTTTGGGATGAGGAGGAGCCAATCCTGGACGTAGAGAAACAAGTTGAAGAGAAAAAGAAAAAGCCCTACAAAGAGAAGAAACACATCCCAGGTATGGAGAAACATGTTGAGGACAAGGCCTGGAAGAGGGGTAAATTGGCCCAGAAAGAGAAACATTTGTCTAGAAAAGAGGAAGGGCTTTCTGGGGAAGAGGGAAAATGGGCCTTTAAAAAAGGCAGTTTGGCAGAGCAAGAGATTAAATTGACACCAGAAAAGAAGAAATGGTCAGTAAAGGAGAAAAAAGAGGTCCATAAAAAGAAACAAATCCAAGAAAAGAAAGAACAAGTTGAGAAACAGGAGAAAGAAGGCCAGAAAGAAAGGCAGGCCAAGAAAGATGAGAAAGAGGCCAAGGACAAACAATTAGCCTGGAAAAGAAAGAAACTGGGCCTAGAAACGGAGAAATTTGGGGAAATGAAGGTACTGTCACAAGAAGATAAACAGACTGAGAAAAAGGTGAAAGAAGCTTGGGAAAAGGAGCGAAGGGCCCAGAAAGAGGAGAAAGCAACCAAGAAACAGAGACAACAGGTCTGGGGGAGAAATAAAGTAGACTTAAGAGAGGAGGGACAGGGTGATGAGATGGAAAAATGGTCACAGAAAGACAAGAAACAGGCATGGGGGAAAAGAATGCAGGATCAGAAAGAGGAAAGATTGGCTGGAAAAGTGGAGAAAGAAGAAGACAAGAAACAGGCATGGGGGGAAAGAACACGGGACCAGAAAGAGGAGGGATTGGCTGGAAAAGTGGAAAAAGAGGAAGACAAGAAACGGGCATGGGGGGAAAGGATGTGGGGCCAGAAAGAGGAGAGATTGGCTGGAAAAGTGGAGAAAGAGGAAGACAAGAAACAGGCATGGGGGGAAAGAACACGGGACCAGAAAGAGGAGAGATTGGCTGGAAAAGTGGAGAAAGAGAAAGACAAGAAACGGGCATGGGGGGGAAGAACACGGGACCAGAAAGAGGAGAGATTGGCTGGAAAAGTGGAGAAAGAGGAAGACAAGAAACGGGCATGGGGAGAAAGGATGCAGGGCCAGAAAGAGCAGAGATTGGTTGGAAAAGTGGAGAAAGAGGAAGACAAGAAACGGGCATGGGGAGAAAGGATGCGGGGCCAGAAAGAGGAGAGATTGGCTGGAAAAGTGGAGAAAAAGGAAGACAAGAAACAGGCATGGGGGGAAAGAACACGGGACCAGAAAGAGGAGAGATTGGCTGGAAAAGTGGAGAAAGAGGAAGACAAGAAACGGGCATGGGGGGAAAGGACACGGGACCAGAAAGAGGAGAGATTGGCTGGAAAAGTGGAGAAAAAGGAAGACAAGAAATGGGCATGGGGGGAAAGGATGCAGGACCAGAAAGAGAAGAGATTGGCTGGAAAAGTGGAGAAAGAGGAAGACAAGAAACGGGCATGGGGAGAAAGGATGCGGGGCCAGAAAGAGGAGAGATTGGCTGGAAAAGTGGAGAAAAAGGAAGACAAGAAACAGGCATGGGGGGAAAGAACACGGGACCAGAAAGAGGAGAGATTGGCTGGAAAAGTGGAGAAAGAGGAAGACAAGAAACGGGCATGGGGGGAAAGAACACGGGACCAGAAAGAGGAGAGATTGGCTGGAAAAGTGGAGAAAAAGGAAGACAAGAAACGGGCATGGGGGGAAAGAACACGGGACCAGAAAGAGGAGAGATTGGCTGGAAAAGTGGAGAAAGAGGAAGACAAGAAACGGGCATGGGGGGAAAGAACACGGGACCAGAAAGAGGAGAGATTGGCTGGAAAAGTGGAGAAAGAGGAAGACAAGAAACGGGCATGGGGGGAAAGAACACGGGACCAGAAAGAGGAGAGATTGGCTGGAAAAGTGGAGAAAGAGGAAGACAAGAAACGGGCATGGGGGGAAAGAACACGGGACCAGAAAGAGGAGAGATTGGCTGGAAAAGTGGAGAAAGAGGAAGACAAGAAACGGGCATGGGGGGAAAGAACACGGGACCAGAAAGAGGAGAGATTGGCTGGAAAAGTGGAGAAAAAGGAAGACAAGAAACGGGCATGGGGGGAAAGAACACGGGACCAGAAAGAGGAGAGATTGGCTGGAAAAGTGGAGAAAGAGGCTGAGGGGGAAAAACAACAGGCCACAGAAAAAATGAAACTGGTCCCAGAAGTGGAGGAGAAGAGAAAGGAAATTGGGAAAGTGTCCCCAAAAGGAGAGCAACAACTCATGAAAAAAGAGAAAGAAGCTAAGAAAGGGGAGAAATTGTTCGGGAGAGATAAGAAAGTGACTGAGGAAAATAAGCAACGGACCTATGAAAAAGGGCAACTAGCCCTACAAGGGGAGACACGGGCCCAGGAGGAGAGAATGTGGCATCAGAAAAAGGCAAAAGACAGTGAGCACAAGGAACACTGGGCTTGGGGAAAAGAGAAACTGTTTCTAGACGAGGAACAAGCTGGTGAAATGGAGGAAAAATCTCAGGAGAAAGCAATTATGAAAAAAGAAGGTAAATTGTCCCAGGAAGAGAGACAATTGGCATATGACAGGACCAAGGAGACAGACGTTGCCAACGGAAAAAAGAAAAGAACCCAACAGGAGAGGATACAGGCAATGGGGAAACTGGTGATGAAGAGGAGGGTTAGTTCTGAAGAGAAAGAAGCTCTTTCCTTAAATAGTTATTTAAGGATGAGAGAGCATCAGTTGCGGAGGATCCTGGCTAAAACAGTTAGAGAAATTATTAGAGTACCATTGGAAGAAATAAAAATACCTGAGGAAGAGAGATCATCCATTATAGGAAGGAGTGAAATTGATGGCAAGAGGTGGGAAATTCTTAAGGAGCAGGAGAAAATAACCAAAGAAAAGGAGGTGGATCAGAAAGAGAGTAAAGTAGAAGGTGATAGACTGGCCACAGAAGAGAGGACACTGACTGATGATGAGGGCTTTGAGGAAGACCAGTGGTTACTTGAGAAGGTCCAGGAAACAATACTATTAGATCAAATCCAAGTAGAAAGTGTGTTAAATGAGATCCAGGAGCAAAATCTATTAGGAGGAGAGCAGCTAAAGGAACTTCAGAAGAGAATTGAGAATAAATCAGAAAAGATTCAGGTAAAGTGGTTGTTAGAGAATATCAGAGATATACTGTTTGAGGGCTTATCTGAGAGCTTGACTGAGCAGGAAACAGAGGAAGGTCCGACTAAGGAGGGGAAAGAGGAGGAGAGTCTGAGCAAGGAGGAGAGAACGGAGAAGATTGAGAGAGAGGAGGAAAGGCAGGAGGAGGAGGCAGCCTTGACTAAAGAGAAGGAAGAGGTGAGCATACTTAAGGGGGCAGTGCTCTCAGAAGAGGAGAGAGTATTGAAAACAGAGCTCTCAAAGGAAGGAGTGAGCTCGAGGCTAGTGAAAGAAGGCAAGATCCTTGCTGAGGAAAGGGAGGGTACAGCGAGAAGGGAAGCACCCTTTAAGAAAGAAAGATTCCTTGATGGAAAGAGACATCCCACATTTATGGATAAGCTTATTTGGCCAACAGTTCCAAAGAGCCCCTTCAAAATACCACTCCCAGTAGCCCTGGAAAAAAAAGAGGGCATGCCCCTGAAAATATTAGGGGATCGTTTGGATTTGGAAGGACGGGAAAGTCAACTTGGAAGGGCAAGTCCAAGGGGAAGAAAAGAGGATAGGCTCTTGGAGAAAGCCAGGGGCATATTTTTACAAGAAACAGGCTTAGAGACACAGATCCCACGAGGGCTCCACAGGCCAGGACCCTGCTTACCTGGTAGTATCATAAAACCACAAAAACCTGAACATAGGCTCAAAGGTGGCAGGTGGAAGTGGTTCGTGAAGTATCGGGATTCCTCAGCAGGGAAAAGTGAGGGTCAGGCCCCAGCTCCAGCTCCAGTCCCAGCCCCATCCCTTACTTCTCTGCCAGCTAAAACAGAAACAAGCTTCTCAGATGAGGACTGGGTTAACAATGCCTTAATAAGGCTGAAAGCAGGAGAACAGCTTTCCAGGGACAGCTTCCATAGACTGAACCAGCTCCTCAGAGACTTCACTTCAAAGGGATACTTGAAATGGATGCATTTGTACAATCTTAAAACCATTGCTAAACACTTGAGGCCGAACCTAGAGGCAAGTCACACAGATATACCACAACCCTATAAGGATGTTTTGAGTCCACTGCACCTAAAAGTCATCCCTCCAATTAGAAGAATAGAAAAAGAGAGCTGGCGAGAGCCATTGCCTAGCCCTGAACCAGTGTTACCATCAGCTACTAGGACTCAAACCCCACAAGCCGTCAATTGGCATCTCTTAGCTGAGTCCTACAGGAAGAAGCAGGCACAACAGTTATCCACTGCTGTCAAGGAAATAAAGCACATTTGTCCAACCAGAAAGGATGAAAAACCCCTGGCCTTGATATTCCAGAAGGACTTCCAGGCCTTGAGGGGGAGGGGTGAGTCCCCCAAATTTCACAAGGCAAAGAGGAAACCACTGCCCATTCCTGCACCAGTGTTACCATCAACCACCAAGGAGATTCAAGTCCCAATGGCTATAAATTGGCATCATCTAGGAGAGCCATACAGGAGTGCACGGGTACAGCAGTTAATCAGTGCTCTCAGAGAGATGGAAATGCGACACTTTTACCCTGCCCAAAGAGACATTTTCCAAGGTGCTCGTGCCTCTGTGGAAAAACAAACCCTAGCACTGATGTTTCAAAAAGATCTCAGGGCTTTTAAGGGTAAAGGCAAGCTTCCCAAGTTGCCCCAGTTAGAGAAGGTAAAGACCAACTCTAAAAGACAGGAAGACGTGCCTCTATGGGAGACATTCGTGGCATTGTACCATGTTTTGCGGATGTTGCAGGAGCGATATGCGGAAGATGGTGCTACTTGGATGGAACAATTCTACCAGGTCATGGACCTGTACCAACTTAAGTCCCCTGGAATCCAGAGGCTTCTACTAGAGTTGCTGCAGAGAAGGGAACTCCAACCCCAAGAGACCATCTACAAAAAGGCCCTGAAAACCAAGGAGCCAGTACTTGGTGAGAGGTTATTCTGCGGCCTGTTTTGTGGTCGTTCCCATACTCCTGCAGGTCCCCTCAAGTTCCAGGATGTTATACCCCTGCCTGGGCAGAACAGAGTGCATACTCTCCAAAATGTGGGCATCGCTCGGTATGGGTTCCTAGAACTTGCCTGGAAAAGTCTGCCACAAGTTAATCCTTCACTTATTGAGAGGCTGCCCAACATCCCTACTCCCACTCTCTGATTTGGCCTAATATTAGTACTTTGGGGTCTTATTGAAAAATGAGCCTGGGCCACAGATTTTAATCCTCCTTACATGTTCCCCAACTCAAGGTAGGGGCCTGGATAAGGGCTTGTCTTCATTCAGCTCCAGAAACCTGCTGCTATGTACTGAATAAAGTAACATTTATCATTTGCAACAAATATTCTGGCATTTCTCTTCCTCCCCACGCCTAGAAGTAGTCAGAGAAAACAGATGACCTTTGTACTAAGGGGAACAATTTTTTCAGACAGTGGGCTACATCCTTTGGAGGATATTTCATAGAAAAGTCTACCCTGGCACCCAAACTTTTTGGCTATTATTTCTTTTCCTCAAAGGATCTTGGAGGGAAGAGGATCTGGCACAGGCGGGCATTTATTTAGCATTAATATGAGAGAAAGAAGACATACAATTTTGCCCCTTTATAAGCTTTGAACTAGACTTAAGTTCTTGAAATCTCTATGTCTCAGTGCTCTCATTGACAGGATAGGAATATGGAATGAAATAATGCTTAAGAATGCCAACTTTGAATTCAGAACTCTCATTCCAGTCCTTGCTCTGCCACTTATTAGTTCTTTAATCTTAGTTTTTTGTTTTCCCACACTACTCAGATGTCTCAGGTGTGTTGAGTCTGGTATTTCTAGCCCACAGCTACTGAAAACAGGTTATGAGGAGCAATGTCAGATCTTCCAGGGAACTAGTTTAAGATGCCATTTCATGCACCCCACTGCAGACCTACAGAAATCTCAATTAGTCATTGGCAGGGCCCAACGCCAATGATTTTTCAGCAAAATGTCCCAGGTCATTCTACTATGTGGCTATTATTCTACTACGTGGTTATTCTACACTGGAAGGGTTCCAGGGGCATTTCTGATGATTAAGTACAGGGTCTGATCCATGGGAAGCCTTCATTAACAGGCCTGCTCTGCCTAAATTTTGATAGAGTAGGGTAAGTCTATCCTACAGTCCAGTGTTGTAGTAGAATTTGTAGGTGTCTCTAGAAGGCAAGGGTACACACAAAAAAAGGAGAGGGGACACTCACATGTTGGCCTCCACATAGGAACTCTATATGTGCCCAGATTTTCGCAGGCCCCCAGAAGCAATGGGAGCAGTGAGATCATCAGGCCATCACTGGCCATGGGGAGATCTTTGGCTTCCATTCTGAGTAAGTTGGATGATTACGGGAGCAAAAGGAGAATCCTTAGAGTATTTAAAAGCATGATCAGAGTGGAGCAGGTGTTCCTTTATGATAGCAAAAGAAAGAAATCTATGCTTCTCAAAATCATTTCCATTGAAGTACATCTTCCCAGACCAAATTTTAAGGCCTGGCTTCCTCCTTGACATTTGAACTTCTCACCTGTGTCATCTGCTTCATTCCTTCCCACCTACCTGAGTGTATAACTACTGTCTCCTCTCTTTATACCACAGAGCTTTTTCCTTTGCTCCAAAAGGGAGACCTTTTGAGGCTTAGGGAAAACACAACCAGTTTATTAGAAAAAGGTACATGGCTCTTACAATAGTGTGGTGAAG